ATATCCATTTTAATACTGACCTATCCCATTTCTTTAAAACTTTACTAGTTTTTATATCTATTTCAAACTATCCCAGAAATGGTTCCTAGTAAAATCAGTTCACCTTAGAGGTGCTGTTAGATTTCTCTTTCTTCCCATCCCTTTTTCCTTTTTATTCTTTCATGTAGTATATCTTCACATGAGTTTCACAATGGTCTTTTAGCTATATTTGTGGAATAGGTGAATGATCACAGCAAATGCTACACATTCTCAATTGACTCAACATCTCCACTTAATATGGCATTCTCCCTCTTCCCATTGGGGGCCATTTTGGGTGATCTACTCCATAAAATCCCTGTGTTGGCACAATCTCTTAAACAGATAAGCCATGGCCGTTTTGCAATTTGTTTTTGTAGGGGTTGTTCTATTCACCATCACCCCTTTTTCAGTAACTTTGGGCCTTTGCAGACTGCCAGAAATAGTGCACATTAAATTGAGGCACAATGCCCTGGCTCAGTGCTAGGGAATCATGGGAACTGTAATTTATTGTGGCACCAGAGCTCTCTGACAGAGAAGGTTCAATGTCTCAGAAAAAAATACAATTCCCATGACTCCCTAGCACTGAGCCAGGGCAGTGCCTCAATTTAATGTCACTATTTCTGGCAGTCTGCAAAGGCCAAAAAACACACAACAATCCTGAAGAAATAAAAAAAAAAAGATAATCCACTCACCAAACAGAGACAGGATCCCACAAGCCAGCCACACAAGTAATGAGATCCCTACATTGCCTGAGTTTTTCAACACCCCTTTGGGGGAAATGAAGATACCACTGCCCACCATAGTGCCTACAGCCAATGCAATGGCCCGGATGAGGGTGATCTTCTTTCTCAAGAAAACAGCCTCTTTCTCCTCTGTTGGAGGTCTCCTTTTTCTGCATGTTCCCATTTCTTTCATTGTTCCCACTAAAGCCCACAGGCGGTCTTTGTGTTAGACTCAAACTGAGTTCCTTTCCTGACTCCCCGGTAAGGGTTCTGCTCTGCTCTCTCCCTACTTCCCTCTCCTTTTCTCCCTTGCTCTTTGCTCAATACACAGAGTACAGTTTGGCTGTAAGCCCATGGAGTAACATGAAGTAAACAAATATTTAAACAAAAATATCAGGTGGAAGGGGAAGCCAGGCCCCAAATCCCAAGGAAGAGGGGAAGCTGCCCAGCTCCAAATTTTGCATACAACAAGTTTACATCCTGAATGGATGTTTGCTACTTGGCTTACATACTTTGCAATATGTTCAAGTCCAATACCAGCTAGCAGCATTACCTCTATGTATGGTTTAGAATGTGAGTTTTGAAAACCAGGAAGAAATGCCAACTAGACTAGCACAATTTAAGGTCTAATTCCACACATGTATGTTAAAAATATGGCCAGCAAGTTTTAAGATGTGGCCACAAAGGAGAGTCATTGCACAATATATTTGCTAAAACATGAGATGCAAAATTCCCAGAAATTTGCCAGCTCTGTATCACAAACCAGTTAGCTATTAAATATATTTCTGTTCTATCACTGTGATCCAGAGGAGAATCACTCATTTAGATATAGTCGTGCCTATGTTAAAACAGCACTAATACCAGTCTCTTCAAGCAGGCCTATCCAGAATATTTTTAAATTATGAATTTTAAAGCACTGATTGATTTTAATATACATTGGTCTTATTTACTCTTTTGACTAATGCTACATGTTTAACCTGTTGTTGTTCCCTGTCTTGATCCATAGGGAGTTGTTGTTGTTGTTGTATACCTTCAAGTCATTTCTGACTTATGATGACCCTAAGGTGACCCTATTACAGGGTTTTCTTGGCATATTTCTTCAGAGGGGGTTTGCCGTTGACATCCTCTGGGGCTGAGAGTGTGTGACTTGCCCAGGGTCACCTGGTGGCTTTTCATGGCCAAGCTGGGATTTAAACCCTGGTCTCCAGAGTCATAGTCCAACACTCAAACCACTATACCACATTGGCTCTCATCCATAGGGAGAGGCAGGTAACAACAACAATAACAACAAATAATGGTCTAGTGGTTTGTGGTACATTACATTTTTCCCACTGAGGAGAGGTAAAGAACGTTTGTCCAGATGTTTTGGCCTACAACTCCCATCAACCCCATATAGCATAGGCAAAGGTGAGGGGTTAGAGTTGAAGTGAAAACATTTGAAGGGATAATTTTTCCCTAGGCCCTAGGAGTTCACTTGTGCTATTAACAATTATACAACAGACAGGTATTTATCCAGTGGAAGTGGAAGTGTAATAATGGGTAGAACCAGCTGTCTGTGAACCAGGTGGTAGAGGTGAAAGTGTTCAACCAGAATAAAAGAGATATGAATAGATTCTGCTTGAAACTAGAATCTGGTACAGAAACCAAAGTAATTTCTTGACTGAATGAAGGATCTGTTACATTTTGACATATTAAGCTTTTTCTATAAATAATTGAGGCTATTGACTCTTTGCTGTGACATAGGTGTCTGCCCTGGTCAGAAGATTACAACTGATCATCCATGTCGTCATCGTCGTCGTCGTCATCATCTTTGAATTTTGAAATTTGGGGGAAACATAGTTATCATTCCCACCTCCAGAAATTTATTTTCTATCCAGAAGCATATCTGTTTAAAAATAAAATCAGGGGACTAACAGAGATTTATTCATGCAGTCTTACATTTCGTTTGCTGCTATTGCTTTCAGGCTGGCTTCATCTTGTGGCAACCTAGAAATAAATGTTCACCTACACCCTCAGTCACCAACATACCTAGTCAGGTCCTGCAAAGTCAGAGCTATGGCGTCCTTGATTGTCTATATACACCTTTAATGCACTCCTCCTCTTTTCCCACAGCCTCCCACTTTACCAAGCATTATTGTCTTTTCTTATGAATCAGATCGTCTCATGATATGACCAAAGTACGATAGCTTCAGTTTGGTCACTGATTTATTTATTAATTTGTCACTTTGGCAGTCCATATATTTGCACAACTCTCTTCCAGCACCACATTTCAAATGAACTAATTTTCTTCCAGTCACCTTTCTCCACTGTCCAGCTTTCACAACTAGACATAGAAATAAGAAATACTTTAGTCTGGGTGATTCTGACTTTGGGATTTAACAATATACCTTTATACTTGAGGATCTTATCTAACTCTTTCATAGCTGCCCTTCCAAGTCCAACCCTTCTTCTGATATTGTTGTTAAAGTCTCCATGTTGATTGATGACTGAATCAATGTCAATATCTTAATTACCCACTTTAAAGTTATGTAATCATCATTATTTTTGTTTCCTTGATATTCAACTCTAATCTTGCTTTTGCACTTGCATATGCTCCCTACAACTCAGTTTATTAATATAATACATCAACTTCTAATTC